CTCCACATCATCCCACTCTTCAGCTTGGTTTCCTCTTACAATTTTGCAATCAAAGGGGAGAAGGCACAAGGGGAGTGTCTCTCTAGGTCCATATGATGATCCTGCTGGTCCTCTTGGCCTGCTTGGGAAGACCTGTCCTCCTAATCATCGTCTAGGATCTGTCCTCCTAATCATCGTCTAGGACCTGTCCTCCTGATCATCGTTTAGGGCAATTGTTTCGTACAGGCTCAGTGGGTACCCTATGTTACATTTTCTTGAAGAATGCTGACCACGTCTGTCCTTCCTCATTCCTTGGGATTGTGAAGGACACATCTGTGGCGATTTGCCATTCTCCTTCTTTCTCTATATACCTGGCCGCAATCAACGGGCGGGCGCCCATCGATGCCAGACGTGCTGATTTGGCTGAGGCCACTACATGAGGTGCCTCCCCATCTGCGATGTGCTGAATGGTAGTGAACTCTGGTATGTATTCTACATTCCACTTTATTAACTTTTTTTTTTGGGCCACCACCACAGTCACTTCTTTTTCCAAAAGTGAGCGTGCTGATTTCTCTTCTGCCTCTGTTTTATCTGAATTCGATTCCTTTTTTTTCTGATTTTTCCCAGTCTTCCATTTCTTTGGGTGCAGATCCTGAAAGTGGTTATTGGTGTTGAAAACCGTTTTGTCCTTATCCGCTAAGCCTTGTTCTCTCGCCCTCTTCTTTTCTGCATATCTAAAGGCAGTGTATTCAGAGAACTCCTCTGCCTTCTCTTTCTTTAGCGTGTCATACTGATTTTTTGACCTCTCAATGCCAGCGATTGTCCCATTCTTCCCATTTTTCTTGGATCTCTCAATGTGCTTCAAACAGGCTGCTCTGATGTCAAACGCATGTTCTCTCTCCCTCTTGGCCTTTTCAATGTATTCCCTCAGCCACAACAGAGACCGTTGGGGCTCAGACACACTGTCTGTGGCTGTCCCCCACTGTCCTCGCTTGCTTTGTTGTCTGCAACTTATATTATTCTTATTATTAAACAAAGGCTCCCATCTATCGGTGGGGACTGCACCTGTTGGGAAACAGGTCCATTGTCCCTCACATAACTATTGACATTGTATGCCACAGCGGATGGATCAGCGATCGGAGGCATTGACTGCTCCATCACAGAGAGGATTTACCCCATGGCTGCTTGGCGGTCATCTGGACAAGCATCCAGATGGCATGGCGTCCGGTCTCTGGACACTAGACCGTTGGCGGCCCACTTGGGGGGAAGGCAAATCAAGGAAATAAAAAACGGGGGTGTTCCTGGACCTGTTCCTCTGGTCCAAGGATTTCCCCCAAAAATGTATGTTTGGATTTAGAGGCCGATACTGGTCACGCAGATAAACCGGATTGGCCTCCCGTGGAAACGACTTGGTGGGCCAAAGACGGCCTGGGAAGTTCCAGTAAAATGCCACTAGCTGAGGCTGATTCATTTCGAATGTCGAATCAGCCCACTTGCCACCTGCACTTCACCCCACCGCATGCCAGCTGCTGCCTGGGCAAAACACACACACACACAAAGAGAGAGAGAGAGAGAGAGAGAGAGAGAGAGAGAGAGAGAGAGAGAGAGAGAGAGAGAGAGAGAGAGAGAGAGAGAGAGAGAGAGAGAGAGAGATTGTTGGGTTAGAATAGAAGATAAAGTTGTCGATGTGCAAAATAGCTTCTCGTTTCACACACACACACACACACACACACACACACACAGAGAGAGAGAGAGAGAGAGAGAGAGAGAGAGAGAGAGAGAGAGAGAGAGAGAGAGAGAGAGCTTTGTAGTGTGCCATCACAGTGGTCATTCAGAGTTACGTCAATAGGTAGCTAGGGCATGAGCCCAGATAAGAAAGTAAACAGTATGTGCTGAAAGTTCATGAGAGTATCAAACAAACATAGGAGACCTATGCATGCGTCCCCCTCCCCCCCCCACCCCCCCCCCCCCCCCCCCCCCCCTCTCCCTCCTCCCCCTTTTTTTCCAGATCCGGACACATCCAAGCACCCCAATTTAGACATGTTTAGGTGGCCTGGTTCGGATTGGTATGGCGTCTAGGTTCATGGTAGCCATGATCTACACCCAACCTGTGACGTGCCCATGCATCATCATTTTCTTCATCAGTCTCGATAGATGCTTTCCCAACCGTCTTCTCCCGAACACAACGCACCCACATTTTGGCCGTACCTGACCGAAAATATGGCTTATATACCACTCATTATCACGGTACGTTATGTTTGGGGGAAGATGGTAGTTCCTCTTCAACTCCTGGCCTGATGGAGTCACCTCAAATAGTTGACAGAATCTGAGTCCTGGCACTGAGGTCAGTCTTTTCTTCTTGTTCTAGGGATCTAGGACACAATTCACCGGACGACGGATTCACAGAGTTGCCTTCTCCAAGTGGGCAAACTGAGAAAAGGTCAGAAGTTCACTTGGCTTCAAATTTTGTTGAGTGGCTTGAGTGAAGTTGAGTCTGAATTTCTAAAACACGAATCAGGTCAATAATATGTGCATGGATGGTAGCGCAGAAGTCGCAAATTGTTGACTTCCGGCTGTGCTCGCCGCTCGGTAAGCCTAAATGGATACTTTTTTTTTTTTTTTTTTTTTATAAATAATATTGCTCCAATCTATTCGTGGGGAGCATCACGTGCTGGGAACCAGGCCCAGCGTCCCTTATAATGGGAATACATTGATGATTGACAATTGATGAAAATTTGGGATGATTAAGGATCATTTTTGATGATTTAGGATGTCAGAGTGGGTGATTGAGGTCATGAAATAGAGCTAGATGATGACTAATCAGAAAGATTGTCTGCTCAACACTGAATTACTATCATATCCCTAATTTCCTGTATCCATTCCAAACAACCAATCACAATTGAGCCCGTGTTGTGCACCAATCAGGCCTCTTCCCGGTCTCACACCCCAATCTGGCTCGGTTACAGGGCAGCGCTACCCACCCCAGCTCCGACCATCATTGGACAGATTGTAGCCATTAGTCAAGTTTGCAGATTGCCTTCCTCCCTCGACAATTCCAGACCTCTATACAAAGCCTCAAGCTCCTACACAAGCAGGTTACAGGGCACAGCCCCAGCGCCGACTAGCGTCGTTCTGGCGCCAACTCAACCTGGCCATTACACAAGAAGACTCAATTAGGAAATTAGCTAATCTAGAATGCCAACTAGAAATCAAGGATCTGATAATATCAGAATCCTGATCAACAAAACTTTCTGATGATGAAATTTGACGAGTACCCTGAGATGATCACAAAGATGATGGATAATGATGATGACGACGATGATTATTTCTCTCCACCCCTCCCCTTCTTCCATGTATTATCCTCCTCTCCCCTCATTTCCTCTTCTCCTCTCGCTGCCTCCGCTGAGCCCAACCCCGCTATCAGCATGAAGTTCCTATCAGCCCCAACGAGAGAGAGAACCTCCCCATTCCCTTCTACCTTGAGGTAACCAGTTCCCCCAAAAGGTGTACCTCAAAACTAACACTCTGACCTAGTCTGCCTCCGCCAGGAGACAATGCGCGCCCATACATATCTCCCAGCCCCAGCCCAGGTCAGCTCCCATCATCTGCGTCTACTCCCTGGAGGGCAATCACCTCCCACCTTGTGTTACCCCAGCGGAGTAGCGCTCCCTTCTTGGCCAACTTACCTATTACCTAGACCATAGCCTATCTGGGAGATGAGAATATAACCACCAACACAAAGATAACTACTGATTGATGAAAAAATGAATAAAGAAACCGTGATGATGATGATGATGATGATGATGATGATGAAGACTCAGATTGGTAGATGATGACGATGATGATGATGAAATAAAATTGGCGAAAATAAGTAGGGAATGTCGGACTTGTGATGCCCTAATGGCACCGGTGTGGAAGATTGACAGCTCACTATTGCTGTAATGAAAATAGAAGATGACGATGATTACGATTTTTACAGAGAAGACCGGATGATAATCATGAAAAAGATAAAAAGAAGAGAAATAACATGGATGACGAATTAGAGAAGCCGATGATGATTGTCACCGGTAACCAAATGAGGATTACAAAAATGACGGTGTCCTTGATGAACCCCCCCCGCTGAAATGACAATGATGAAAATCTTGATGCTCTTGATGGATAACCTGCACAAGACAACAAACATACGAAAGCACATATATAGGTTGATGATGACCTCCTAGCCGCTCTCTTGATGATACTCTCCCAGTGGCACTGTGATGATTCTTCAAGTAGGACCAATGTTCTCTGCACTTTGGTCTCCACGGGGCTGACTCCACTTTCCTCCACCGACATTGACTTTCGTCAACTCGCATGAGCTCTCCAGCCTCTTTAAAGGTCTTGGCTATGGAGTACTTCATGTGAAAAACACAGGGGAAATGTTCAAACGGCAGCTGCCGCTACCTTTCTCCCTTTTCCTCTGTGCCTCAGGCCAGATGCCACATCAGCCTGTGACATAGTCATGACCCAGTGCCTCTGGATACCGCACGTGCGTCAAGCGCTATCCCCCATCTAATTCACAACATCACAGCACCCTCGCACCAGCGCCTCCCCCCCGTCGGCTGTCAGCACCGCACCATGTGTCAGCTAGCATCTTACTAGTCACCCCAAGCCAGCGCCTCGCCAGCCGCAAGTCACCAGCGCCCCACCACTCACGTGTTGCCAGCGCCTCGCCACTCACGAGAAGCCAGCGCCTCGCAACCTGCGAGAAGCCAGCGCCCCGCCACCTCCGACCAGCCAGCGCCTTGCCTGCAAGCAACCAGCATGCCACCATCCGCGTTTCGTGGTGGCCCGCCAGCCATAGCGCTAGCGCTAACGCGCGCCAGCTACTTCGGCGCCAGCAGCCTGCCTCAACCTGAATGGATACTATGTTTTTTTTTTTTTTTTTTTCCCTTTTGCATGTTGATGATGTTTTGCTTGGTGCTATGTTCTGACAGTGTTCTGTGTTCTGTGTTCTGTGTCTGCTCTGTGGGTGCTTATTGTAGATGCATGAGAAGAATGTTAAGCAAAAGTTGGCTATGATGAATGTGCGGGTGGTGGCAGACGAAGGCATAGCTCATGTAGGGGATCGAATGACGATGGGAGGAGTGGTCAGACAGCAAAGCTTTGGGGGACTGGGAACCCTGGGATGGGGTTCTGAGTCGGCAATGCCAGCATGTGGGCGCGTTTCGGGATGTGGCACCACTCTCCATGCCAATGACCAAGAGTCTTCATTCCTCTACCAGCCAAGGCCAGGTGGAATGAGTATGCCAGGAATGCCTGGTATGGTCATGTTTTCAAAGAAGAAGAGGAAGAAGAGTAGGAAAGGACAGGTCCCTAAGTTACCAGAGGGCCTTGCTCCTGCAGCCTCACCTCCAAGGCCATTGCCACCGCGGACATCGTTCATGATGAACGGGAGCACCAAAACTCCTGCCGCAGGGGGCCTGACTCCTCCTTTCGCTTCGTCGGTAACCCGGAAGAGGTCACACATGAGCTTGTCGGATGGTCTTGGTGGGGTGATGGTTCTTCCAAAACGAATGAGGAGCGCCAGAATTTCTTCCTTTGGTTCAAACCCCCCTGGGTTAATCGAGAGGGGGCAAAGTGGAAATGTTGTGGGCTCCCCATCTCCTCTTGGCCCACTTGAGGGAGTGGGTTTGGGAGGGCATGCATCACTGCCTGGGGCAACTGGGACGCTAACGGCCTCATATTTCTCAACAGTAACTGAGAGGGGACCAATTGGATTTGGTGGGTGTTCTTCAGAGGTCAAGAGTGAAGGGGGAGTAAATCCTGATGCTTGTGGCAGAGGAGGCAGCAGTGTTTTTTCTGCTCCCTCCACTCCTGCCATGGGGATAAGGAGGGACATCAACAGCGGGATAGGAACCAGTGGTGCTGCCACATATTCGAGGGTGCAGACTAGCACATACTTGGAAGGCGGGCAGGGGAATATTGGCGTAGTTTGGGGACGAGATAAGGGTATGAAGAAGGAAAGAATTGCCTCGACGCCAGGAAGGGAGTGGCCAGCCTTTGCAGGTGGTGTGCCAAGCTGGGCCGCATCTGGGAAGAAGCCCCTCAAGGTATTCACGTGCTTACTGCAGCTTCTCCTTCTTAGCTGATCATTGAATTTGTGTGTGGAAGATCTCTCTGCAACCGTCATGACCTTGTTTGTCTTCTCTTCAGAGACAGAGGGACTACAGTTTTCCTCTTCCCCTCCCCTGTGTTCATGGTACATCTAATTTGGTCATCTGATCGGCAGCCTTTTGCTCAGATACAGTGGTTTGAACACCATACATACCCAACGCTCTGTTTCTTACAGTGGTTTGAACACCGTACATACCCAATGCTCTGTTAACGTATTGTTTCTTTTTGTTCTGTCATGAAATGCTCATCCATTGAAAAAACTGTAAAACTGCTCCAGTGTCCCTTGCATTCGGTACACACCCAATGCTGCCCCTCGTTATCGTCAAGGGCCCTTGAGACAGCAGCATTGATTGCTTCCTGAAATATGGATCAGGTCAATAATAAGTGCATTTCCCACATGCGAAGTTCAAAAAAAAAAAAAAAAAAAAAAAAAAAGGTGCATGGATGGTCAATACGGACGTACCTTTCCGCACTTGAAAAACAAAGGCACGGCGGTTAACACGGAGGTACCTGCCCACCGCGAAATGGCTGGCAGCGGCAGGCAGGTGCTACCACGTGGAAACACATCTTTTGAATTTTTTTCGGCACACAGGGCAATTTCCGGCCCGCAGCCGATATATGAGAAAGGTACTGGCTGTTAAAAACATGATCTTTGGCAAATCGCACGAAGAGCAAGGGTGGAAGTCCATAAAGCTAACTGAGTTTCATGCAGCTGACAGAATTCCAACTGAGGCGTATGTATTTTTATCATTTTATTATGCGATAGAGCAAATAATTCAGCTCAAATGGGGGGCACCCAAGAAGCATCAAACATTTCTGACAAAATCCATGGTGCGAATTTGATATAACAAGCACTGGATCCCAGTGCAACCTCATAAAAAGCTATGAAGCACAGACCTGAAGAAATTGAAACACAAGTGGTTGTTACCAAGGCAGCCCCTCGTGAACCAAGAAAGCGAGGGGGGGGTGGGGGAGGAGGGGGGAGAGGAATACAGCAAAAGAAAGGCATCCCTATGGGAGGGAGGACAAGCCAACCACTTGCAAATGTTCGGGGCAACTATACGGAGCAACAGTTTCTCAACCCTTTAGGGCAGGATTGGAGGTTTATGGATCGGGAGTAGATCAGTTGATGGCATACTACGGATAGGGCAGTACGATCCCAGATGGAAGGAGGAAGGGGAGAAGATAGAAAAGTTCATGGATCGGCTTTTCGATTGCTACCATGATGATCTTGGATGGGCCGAACTGATGGTGGTGGGTGGCTGCTGGATTTTTTTAAGACCAGATTGGTGATTCCGGGAAACTGCATGGGTCCGCGTGTTCCATATGTTCGAAAATCTGGACACTATCTGGGAAGGCAAGATAGGAAGATCTTAGAAGGAATATGCTTCTTTCAAACCAAAGGTGCAAGCATGCAGCTTAGAGTGTTGGATCACCAAACGTGCAAGCATGCAGCTTAGAGTGTTGGACCAGCCAACTGACAGCCTTAGTAATCTCATCATGCAATAGCTTCATAACATTTCCTTCACATCATACATCTGAGCTGTGATTCTCTCCATCGAATAGAGACTGGTGGAAGATGGGCGGGAGTCAGATTTGAACCTACAACATTCAGATTATGAGCCTGACGAGTTACCAATTACTCTATCCCGTGCGCATACTAGGATTAGTATGGCAGCTATGGCTGCAACTCACCCAAAAGGGTCAACCAGCCGCCACAACAAAACAAGCAGCTTATTGTATAATTTATGTATGCGTTCATCCACGCATCCCCCCAGACGCGGGGGTTGGCAGTTATTTCCAATCATGTGATGTGCTTTCTCATTCACCTTACCCGCTTTCCCCGTTAGCAACTGCGTCCCACAAAGATTAAACTTTAAGTGCCTCACCTCCAAATGCTTCACCAAGAAATTCAATCCCTGAGGCATATATCCCATAACCACCCTTGCTACAATGGCAAAGAAGTGGCCAAAGAGTCTCTTCTTACCGACATCCTTACCATTTGACAACACATATGCATGCTGTAGTCGCCCTTCTGGATCCAATTTCGCAATATTGCCCAGCTTCGCCTTCTTATAGTCCCTCTCCATCAAATTGAGTATCCAGTGTGTTTTTGGATCATCATAATGTCACACAGATTGGTTTAGTGGAACTTCAACCATAATTGCCAAACTGACTCTATAGACTTGATTGTTCAATTTTATTGACACCTGATTGACTGGTTTAGATTCTTTAGAATGACATGACCCATAACCATTGAATAATGGCCAAATCTGCGTTGTATATCCTGCAGTTGAAGGTGAAGGCAGAGCAGCTGCTTGAACGTGTGTCCGTTGTCGACCCTGATTTTCTGACAAGTGCAGGTGCAAGTTTACCAGGTGTGTTTGTTTGTTTTTTTTAACAGGTGTGGGTGCATAACTGAGATCCCTCCACCGATCCTTCCCTGATTTAGAGAAGTAATCAATGCCTCCTACCCTGTGGGGGAATGGGGTGGACATGAGGGCAGGGGCATTCAGACTCATATACTAATGGACATTATGCATGGCAGGGGCTTTCAGCCTCATATATACTAATACAGATTAAGCGGATAGTACGAATGCACTTACACAGGAATGGACTCCTGGCATGGCCACATCACACCAAACAATTCATATATCATTGTACAGGGATGCTGGACCTGATTTCCAGCAGGTGACGCTCCCCACCAATAGATGGAGCCTTCAATGCTGGGACCTACTTGACGGGGCTGCTCTTATCACCTCGACAAGTGACCTTCCCGCAAACGTAAGTTTGGCCCAAAAAAAAAAATTTAAAAATTGCCATGGCTTCGCTTGTATGTTTACTTTCTAACTGGACTCTGGGAGGCACATCGCGGCAATCACACCATGATTAAACCACCAGTACTTCCTAGAGTTGTGCCTGTATACAAGCCACAAATTTTAGGAAACGTACAGGCCACTACAGGAGCGCCCAAATTCATCTGACTAGAATGTTTTCTACTCTATTTTTTTTTCTGCGGCCAATAGCTGGGCCAAGTACTGGTGGTTTAACACATTCTTTACGGCGGGAGGGTGGACTAAGAAATGTTGAACACACTCTGAACTCGGGTGGGTTGGGATGTACAAGTTTATAGTACTTGAGACTTTTCAATGGCTGGATGTAAATCCTCACATGAGAATGGATGGAAATTGCAAAATTGTACAAGTTTCGAGCTGTGGTGGCACTAGACTTGGCTCCTGAGGCCAAGGTCGCCGGTTCGAATTCGTGCTTGCACGGAGGAGGGCTGGGGCCCAGATGTACGGATCCATAAACTACTAGTGGTGGGTGGCCTTGTAAAATTGTGAAGGTTTCAAAACTATTAAGTTGGAAAATTTAGGAGTCCTCCGTCTGTAATAGACTGTAAGGTGATGCTGCTTAGTGGATAAGGTAGGACCGTGGGAGTAAAGGACCTAGAGGTGCGTGGGGGGGGGGGGAAGCTATGAAAGTGGTAGGTTGGAAGGGAAGTTCCATAGGAATACCGCGTGGTCAAGTGCCGAAGGCACCCCTCACATGTCTATAAATCCAACCTCTACAACAACCTGGGCTTTTAAAAAAAAAGAAAAAAGAAAAAAAGAGTCGTAGCTCCGAACACCTGATGCTGCCTTCCGGTCTGAGGAGGTTTGTAGGCCCTGGAAAGTGAAAGAAAAGGGGTGTGCAACGGATGTTTGGGAAAGATGGGCCCAGAGTTTCAGGTTGGAACTGGAACTTCAAGCTTGCAGGCATCAGTTCCGGAATGGGCTACATAGCAGGAAAGGAAAGAGAGAGATGACAAGAAAATTCATCATCATAAGGGGAAGAAAAGGGAGGTGTAACATGCTGAGGCCTATTACACAGGCCCCTTGGGGACCCGTCTTTTCTGCACCAGGCCCCCAGGGCGTGCACCCTGTAGTTTGGGCGACCTGGATGGCCACGGCCACTTTCTAGGCCTAGGTGCATATTTTTTGTACCATTCATTTTTCTTAATGCTTTTTTTCCCCTCCTTTACCATTCAGCATTTATTTATTTATTTATTTTTGCTGAGTGAGTGAGTTTGGGGCTGAGTTTTAGTTCTGTCAGGGATTTTTTTTTGTCTGTTCCAGATTTGTCGTTTTGGACTTTCTTTTGTTCGAACAGGCAGGTGCCTGTTCGGACCAGTGAATTCTGGTTTCGGCGGTACTAGGCCAGGTTCAGTTTCCTTTGGTATAAACACTGTGTCCTAGCTAGAGAAAATGTGGCCTTGGAGGGGGGGGAAATATCAGAGATAATTGTGCAATTTATTCAGACTGAAATCAGAGCACAATGGGAAAGAACTAAATCAAGACTTCTGAAGTTACATCAGAAGAAGGACATTCAAGAAGAAATTCAGAAATTTGTCCTGAACTGGCTGGGGAGATCTCAAGGGAAGGGCCTGGNCCCCCCCCCAAAAAAAAAAAAAAAAAAAAAAAGGTCTTACTCGTCCAACCAACCAAACTGCGATTCCTGTCTGACTTGTCAGTTAGTGCATATTCCTGCTGTGAAAGCCCCCAACACCTCTGGAAAACATAGTAAGTACTTGACTTTACCATCAGAACAAAGCAGAGCAGCACCAGTCAGGTTAGAGCTTTATCAGCTTAGCAGAGCAGAGCAGAGCAGGGCAGAGCAGGTCATCATTGGCTTTCTCCTATCCTTGCTGTGAAAGCCCCAGGCCCCTTTCAAATACATACTCGGTACTTAAACCACCAGTACTTTTGAGGGACGATGCACATGCCGTGCTTCCTCCGAGAAAAATATAGCTGGGAAACCTTCTCGTGTTTAAACTTCATCAGCAAAAAAAAGCCGAGTAGAGAAGGTTTTTTAAATCAAGACTTCTGAAGTTACATCAGACGAAGGACATTCAAGAAGAAATTCAGAAATTTGTCCTGAACTGGCTGGGGAGATCTCAAGGGAAGGGCCTGGGAGAGGTGGAGTGGCCAGGAGGAGAAGGGATGGAAGAATCKTTCGAGAWGAACTTCCATCTCCGCTTTTGGGACTGGTTCRCGCTACAGCCAGGGGCTTCCCTCAGATCTCCAAACTGYTTTGCAGATCCCTTTCCCCCTTCTCAGCTTGCTATAGTGGAATTACAGTGGTTTGGTAGTGAGGAAGGGTGATGTTAATTGATTATGCTTTAGAAAAAAGGGGGTTGGAGTGCTAGGGGTAATGGTATATCTGGCTCCCGGTAGGGTGAAGAGGCACAGGAACCCTGCCCACCAGTCCTGATACTTAAAATCATTATCATCATTTCGGTCTCATAGTAGGATCAGCACTTACAGAGCTGAAGGGACGCTTGGCCCCGTTCCCAGCATGAGCTGTACTTTTTATTTCCACTCACTATGATGTAAAGGGACGCTGGACCCGTTTTCCAGCAGGTGCAGCTCCCCACCAATGGAACGGAGCCATTTAAGAAAAAAAAAAAAAAAAAAAAAGGCCAGGTTCAGTTTTGTCCGCATCTGGAACTGGACCAGGCATTCGTTTGTTAGTGCCTGGCCTAGTCCTTCTCCATTCTGGACTGCCCTGCTGCATCAGCAGGGCTGCTTGGACATCTGCTAGGCCCTGGGGAAGGGGGGGGCGGGACAGGGAGGGGGGCAGGGGGGTAAGTGGGATGGGTGGACGGCCAATGACTGGGTACCAAGGGGAGTCACCCATTTGGCCAGCCAAGCGATACCCTTTCCCCCCCCCATGGTCATTCAGTTGTGTCTGTATTTGTTTTGCTTGCGGGGGATAAGTAACCAGACTGGCGCCCCCCAGAATACAAGGGGCTTGAGTGTCAAAAAAAAAAAAAGGAAAAAAAAAGGGATGAAACATCTGAATGTTAGTAGGGAAATGATGCGCCCCATTCAATGGCTCAGAGGTGTCAGAACAAAGCGAGCAAAAACCGCCCAGATTAACCACCGGTGTCTGCCCACCGATGACTGGCTGATTGACAGAATCAGGCTTGAGCAGCAGGGTCAGGCTCTCCCCTGGTGCAGGCTATGCACTGCTGCCTTCCCATCACGGAAGATCCTAGAGACAATTGAACATATAATGGTAAAATGCCCGGGTTCCATTTGGTGGTGGGACAGAATCTGGCAACAGCTGGGCACAGAGGTTAGATTGCCATGGGACTGGAGAGCGTTGTTGTGCGGGCCCTGGCAATCTGACCCAGGCAGCACCTATGTGGACAACATATTCTACATAGGTAGAAGAATGATTCTCTGGGCCCTATGGTGGCGACGCTGTCTTTGAGATGGAGGGCGCCCGTTTAGATGGCCCAGCTTTTACAAACCTAATCAAACAGCAGGTGCAGACAGAACTGACTGTACAATGACTAGGTGCAGACAGAACTGACTGTACAATGGGAGAAAGCTAAGGAACAAATAGCTATTAGGAGCTCAAGACCAGAAATACGCACAAGAATTCAGAAATTCTGCGAGGACTGGCTGGGCGGGGTACAAGGGGGCTGGATATCAGAAGTGGCTTGGGAAGGGGGCAGGGGGAGGACCAACAGGGGTGGCCCCTCTAGATGGACTATAAGCTTATCTTTCACGATTGGACAAAGCTGGACTGCACCATCCCCCTTCGCCCACTCTTGGAATTCCCTGATCCTGTTCCCCCTCATGGACTATCATTGATGGATCTTCACTGGTATGGGGGTGACTAACATTGCTACTCTATTTTTTTTATTTTATTTTTTTAATGGCAAACATCTGTGGCAAGTTGGCAACCTGCTATTGGAGGTGATACGAGCATCCTCCAATAGCAAGCCCCAGTTTATAGATGGCTCCAATCTTTTGGTGGGGAGCATCACCTGCTGGAGACCGGGTCCGGCGTCCCACTGACAAGATAGGAGACAATATACCTGGCGGAACAGCATTGATTGCCCTCTCATGAGGGGATTGACTGCCCACCCAATTACCAGCCAGGTCACAGCATGTATGAAGATCTAGCCATGGGGAGGGTAACAAACTGTCCTGCAATCTACCCTAATCTTTCTCAATCATAACAGTGCATAGCAAACCCTAGGCCCCCTCCGTGCATAAGGCCGCTGCCCAGTTCCATGATTCTCGTTTTCCGCCAGCGGAGATCGTCCACCTGCCCTCCCTTATCCTAGGCTGTTCACCCAGCAAAGATTTATTTACACGAAATTGTTTTTGTCAAATTTCTGGCAGAGGTTAGCAACATCTGCGACATATATCATTATAATTATTATTATGAATATCACGCATCTGCCATGCATACTCTTCCCCCTGCCATTTTGCCAACCGGAGTTCTGCCCATCCCTTATTGATTATCCTATCTCCTCCCCCTATCCATCACCCAAACGTCAGACCTTCCTCTCACTCCTCTCCGTCGGGCCCTCACTCCT